TATAATTGTGCAACAGTGTCAGTATGTAATAGGCATCACAGCCCTGTTTTTATAACAAGTGCCTCAGGGCAGAGGTAGAAACTTTTTAAAAATAGAAAATAGCAAGTAGATTGAATCCTATATGTGTCTGTTTTCACATATATAGGAAACACCTGTTCAGATGACATTCTAGCTGACTAGCCATTGTTTTTATTTTTTTGCATGCCAGTGACTGCCGCAAAATAGATGTTGTAAGTTAAGTACACCATCAAATCTAAAGCTACCAAAACCAACTAGTAAATGGTATGATCCTAGAAATATTTCATAGCCAGAGTGAGTTTGGATCTTGGCCAGTGTTGTAGCTCTGTACACAATGGAAGCACTGTGCTTGTATACCCCAAATGTACTTAAAAGAATAATAGTTGCTAGAGTAATTTTACACATTGTGGTGAACCTGGTGATTGGATCAAGTTTAACCAAAGGGGATCAAGGTTATTCCCTCTGGGGGAAGGAGAATGGCCAAGGAAGGTTCTAACCTGCTGAGTACGTATTGTGAGACTGTTGACATTAGCTGTACAAAGTCTGCCTGTCGTCACCAGGGTGTGCCACAATGAGCAATGGGGTGAAGGACTCCCAGAGTGTGGTGGGGATCAACAGGAGGAGGAGTGGTGGATAGAGAATAATGGGAAACAAAACCAGGGCTGGGAGCAGAGGGGAGGGAAATTCAACACAAATGCAAATTTTTTACCATCTAAATCACCTAGTTCACTCCAGTTAAAATACTTCTCAGGCACTGAGAGCCTGAAGGCCCGATGCTTGCAGGGAAACCAAATGCTTCTCAAGTTCAAATGTAACAAGTCATAACTCTTTCTAACTGCTTCAGTGTAGTAAGCATGCAGGTCTTGGGAAAGCTGGACTTAATCTCTTTGATATCCCAATTAGCCTTTTTCTCAAATGGTTTTGGGCCACCCTAGAAGTCATCATGTGCTGACAACATATTAAGCCTCCAACCAACAGGCTTCCCCAGGACAATTTTTTCTGGTCCAGATTTTAATGTCCTAGTGAACCTGATTCTAGTGGGGCTATTTGTGAAATGAGGGACTGTTCATCATAAATAAAGGGGGACAGCGTCTGACTCCAGGTGAAGAGAATACATGGGGTCTATGCACAAAGTAAAGCTATGCTCAGTATAGGAAATGATTGCAAATTGGGATCCTGAGGGAGGGTGGGGGAGCAGTAGCCAACTTAAATACCATCCAAAAGCCTGACTCTCTCCTACTCTGAATTACATTTCAAGTATTAAAAAAAAAAAAAAGTTGGAGGCCCAGAGGAGCCTTACAGCCTTTGGGGCTAGTCTTATTAAAGCACAGACATTTTTGTATCCAATGGCGCACAAGGGAATGATGTGGCTAGCATCATATCCAATCACTTCTGACTTCTCAGCCTTTAAAACCAGATACTGATGTACAGCTATGAGACCTGGAGATGGCCAATTAGCATAAGAAAAGAATGAGGCTCTTTGAAGTCCATGGGCACATCTACATGGGTGGGTGGGATGGGCTTCACCTCTCCCCCAAAGGTAAGCATGTGTTCTCTTTCAGGTTGGCTGATCTCCTCCAGTGGGCTTTAAATTAGGCTCGTAGGGGGAAGGGGAGGATGAGGACAGAGGGAGCCATGGAACGCCGAACCAAGAGCCCCCCACAAGAACAGCCCAGCCAAGACAGATGACGAGCATAGGAAGTACCCAGGTAAGAGACAGGGGTCCGGATAGTCCTGGGATTAGCGGGGCAGTGCATTCACCCTCAGGAGGTCTTAAATGCCTCTATACTAATGCTTGTAGTATGGGGAACAAGCAGGAGGAACTTGGCCTCCTACTAGCTAACACAAACCTGGACATAGCGGGGCTCACTGAAACTTGGTGGGATCCAACGCACAACTGGGTGGTGAACATCAAGGGCTATAGACTGTACAGGCGGGATAGAACAGGGAGGGAAGATGGGGGTATGGCGTTCTACATCAAAGAGCAATATACATCTTCAACAAACAGCACTGGGTCAGAGGAAGGGCAGACTGAAGTGCTCTGGGTCAGAATACAAGGGGGTCGGGGGGAAAGGAACTTAATGGTGAGGGTCTACTACAGGCCACCCAACCAGGTGGAAAAGCTGGACTAGGAATTCTCAGGTCAGCTTGCATAGACAGTTAAGTCAAGGGATGTGGTCATCATGGGTGACCTAAACTATCCAGACATCTGCTGGGAAGAGCAGTCAGCCAGGTCTGTCCTCTCACGGAGGTTCCTAGCTGAGTTACAGGACCTCCATCTAACCCAGGGAGTGCACAGTCCCACCAGGGGAAATGCCTTGCTGGACCTGGTCCTGGCCACAAGCGACAATCTGGTGAGGGGACTGCGGGTTCTCGACCACCTGGGCGATAGCAATCATTGTCTATTGGAATTCACCATCCAGCGCAGGGTGTCAAAGGCCTGCAGCAAGGCAGAAGCCTTGGACTTCAGGAGGGTGGATTTCAGTGAGGTAAGGAGACTAGTCGGGGAGGCACTGAGGTCCCGGAGGGGAGGGGAGTTGGGAGTCCAAGAAGAGTGGTCGTTCCTTAAGGAGATGATCCTCCAAGCTCAAAGAGTAACAGTCCCAATGTGGATCAAAGGGGGCAAGAGTGCTCAAAAGCCCCCATGGCTCACCAAAAGCATCCAGGAATGCATCAAAGCTAA